GTTCCAAAGACCCCCCCCACCCCAGTGAAAGAATAGACCATTCCAAGCTTTTATTTGTTGTTAAACAAATGTTTAAGCAACTCTATTTATTCAAACGAGTGAAACTCTTAGGTCAGGTGTGGAAGATCTGTATAGAATTGGTGCAAAATATGTGAGCTATACTACAAGCAAAATGATAATTGTTGTTTGCTGAATTTTGCGTAACACTATTCGAGAGCTATCTGTGCTAGCTGTCCCTAATTTTGAAATAATAAATTAGAAAGGAGGCAGATAGTCTCCACTATCCACCGCCAACTCTTGTAATACTTTTTGCCAACGAACAGTGAGATTAATTGTCACATTATGACACCTCATGATTGAAAGAGCGAACGTGTTTATTGACTAGATTCGAGCTCGCGACCCGTGAATAGTACATCATGGTTATGATGGACTATTCCATCAAGTGGCCAGGAGCACATGTTGTTTCTAACCAGTAAGTAGAAATTCCAACAAAAAGGTTGTCAATGAACTTATTTCAAGATTTGGGGTACCTAAAGAATTTCATTCAGATCAGAAAATGTTTGCATAAATGTGTTAAATCTTTGAAATATATAGACCAGGACAACAGCCCTTCATTCATCTTCATTCTGGTGTAATGATAAAGAGATACAGCCGTACACTTAAATTAACTAGCCATTTATGTGGATGAACATCAGAAAATGTGGGAGCAAGACATTCCACTGCTACTTATGAGCTATTAAACAGCAGTACATAAAACTACAGGCAACACACCACCATCACTTAAATTTTGGAGGGAATTTAAAGTGTCATTTTGTGCTTGCATCTGTAGGGTAGTCACTCATTGTAATCTTACACAGAATAAGCAGAAAGAGGCTAAAGGACACTACATAGGCTATATATAACTTTACCGTGGAAACACTTAAACCAGTTAACAATAAACAGAATATTCGCTACGATTTTAACGATGATGACATTGGAATCCGTCATTGTGACATAGCATGACTGCACAATCCTCACAACAATAAAGGACAAACTCCAAAATTAAGCTTGTGTTGAGAAGAGTCATATGTCTTACTGGGAAGAATTAATGATGTGGTTTACAGAATCTAGAATCATAGGTAGTTCAAGTCAATGTAATTCACTTTGATCGTTGTTGGATATATGTCAATGAGTGAATGACGAACTAAATAATTTCAGAGAGAAAGCTTCCAGCGGAAAATCAACCTGATTAAGAGGTCAGGGTTCATACCGAAATCACCTGTAGATTATAAATAAGAATAGAGCTACTAATATATTCACTCGACCATCTACCAAGGACTTCAAGGGACTTCACAATTCAGGAAAGGGACGGGGTTGTGAGCTTTTTCGTTACATTTTAATTTATATATTTGCTAGAGGATGCATGATATAATATCTACAAATTTCATGAAAGGTAAGAATCTAGAAGTTTCGTGTAGTTTGTAGAAATAGAAGTGCGATAAAAATATGGTACCCAGTGAATGACAAGTAAATGCGTTATTATATAATACTTGGAGACGGCTTCAATGGGTAATGGGGAACAACTTGAACATAAGTTTAACAC